ATAACTATAATATCACTCAGAAAAAGAATATTTCTCTACTTCTAGATCAGCTAAGGGATTTCCTGCTCTTAAAAAGTCATTCCCCATGTTTTTGTTGTTGTTTGTTTTTTGTTTTTTAAAATGTTTAGACACATACTTCTGTAAAAACATCTCTGTGGCATCGGCTGTAAGACGAATAAAAGCAAACGATGGAGGTGGGACGGTTTTGTTCTACTTCTGCAAAATATTCTAGTAACTGAGCGACAATAGGATGAAGCTTTTTTCACCCTGGAGCAAACTTTTATGGAAAAATAAATTGGAATAGATTTAGATAAAGTAAATAGAATAGAATATAATGCTTAAATATGTCCATAAAAAGGTTTTGACAAATAGAAATTTACAAAAGTGAAAATGCAGCATATGAGAGAAAGTGCAGGGCGCCAACTAATGGAGATACAGTCGTCCTCACATTTATTCACATCCTCCCAAGAAGGAAAAAAACATCAGTCACTGAAATAAGTCGAAATTGACAAAAGTAATAATAAATAAAAATTTAATGAACATCATGACGTTGCTTTTGAATTGTGGTTCAACAGAAATATTTTTTAAAAAACAAGCAAACAAGCCTGATGGGACCTAACATGTAGTTGAACAACCCTCTGAGCCAATCAGGTGTTTCCTGTAACTCTCAGTCAGACTTGTGCACCTGTTGGCAGGTGTTCTGGACCACTGCTCATCAGCAAAGGGCTCTGATTAGTCTGGGACAGTTTTTTGTTTTTTTAAATTATTCTTTTCAACCACAATTCAAAAGCAACATCTTATTTCACTAAATTATAACTTTTATTTATTATTACCTTTGTTTTCGTTTCTAGTTATTTGAATGACTGTTGTGAGTTTTGCTTTTTCTTTAATAGAAGGGTCTGAATACATGAGGAGTGTAGACCCTCTACCTGAGCTCCAGGACCAGCCCTCCACCTCCTCCCTGTCCTCCACAGATAGACCCTCTACCTGAGCTCCAGGACCAGTCCTCCACCTCCTCCCTCTCCTCCATCTCTACACCATCTGCCCTCACGCGTCTCGTGCGCGCAGCAACGCGCACCATCGTCCGGAAGTTGGAGGAAACTCGGACTCACCACGGACCGCTCCTCCATCAGCCTCCATGGGGGACCGTCCAGCCCGGCTCCAGGTCTCCTCCACGCCGATCAGCCGGATCCACACCGAGACCCCGGAGACGAGGAGCCCCGCGTCGCTCCAGAACCGCCGCTGACCGCGTCGCTCGTCCCGCAGAGACGCTTCCGACCCGAACTCCTCTCTCCGTCCTCCATCAGACTCCTCATCCGGTCCCAGCTCCGACCAGGGAGGCTCCAGGACGGAACCGGTCCCTCCTCAACTTCCGCTCGCTGCAGCGCTGACGGCCGAAGCAGGAGAGCGTCCAGAGAAGCGTCCAGCCGAACCCGGAAACGATCCTCCGGCGATGTGTCTCCACATGAACCCTCCGACCGGACCGTCTGGGTCTTCAGGAAGCAGGAAGAGAAAGACTTCATCTGTCACCGCTGATAACAAAGTTAGACCAGTAGTACAACTTCCGACAAAGTCCCGGTTCCCAGATCACTGGCAGACACAGGAGTTGCGCACCTTCAGTGACGCCATCATGCTACCTGTAAGCCCCGCCCATTAAAAAAAGACAAACCTGCAGTGAAGCTGATTCATTCACCAGAACCACTCAGGTGTTTCCACATCCCAACAGTCCTCCTGATCACGTTCCTCCACATGAAACCAGATCACTGTTGGTCTTCACAGAACTTTATAGAACATCATCACCCGCCACCTCACTGACAACAAAGTTAGACTATTTCAACTTCTGACAAACTCCTGGAGCTTTCAACTCATGATGCACCACAACAATGACATCAGCACGCTCATTGTAGCTTCGTCTGGGTTGCCAGGTGTGATTTATCCCATCCACCAGTAACCTGCTCACAGTTCCACCACGAAAGTAATTTCTGGCCGTGGGATACCAACTCATCTGTCCTTCCCAACAACCCTTTCCCTTCACGTCTGCCACAAGGTTGCCAGTTCCTGCCTTTCACCCCCCATCTCCTGCTGCCAGCTTAATGTAGAAGAGTTTCACAACAACCTGACCCTAATTCTCAACATAGCCCACCATCCTGAAGACCCAGGCGTTGGTCATTCTTCCATCTAGCTCACCTCTAATGCAGCAGCTCGCCTCCAACATTCATCAAAGACCAGAAAATAATAATTAAAGCTGCAAGCAGCGTTGGTCGGGTCCTCGGTCTGCGTTGCAACCTCATGCCCATCTGATCATGCTTCAAGTTAAACCTGCTTTAAGTTGAGGAGCCATGTTTCTGTCTCTGCTCAGCCTCAGACTGTCAGCGAGTCACATGACCAGCTGCACTCAGCTGTGATGATGTCATGATGACTCAGCGATTTTCTTGCCCCTGGCTGAGAGAGCTGAGAGTTTTATTCACTTTCTCTCTCCCATACAGCCACAATTTTCACCAAATATGTGTAAAAACAGCAGGAGCTGGGGAGGGGCTCGATCTCGTCTCCAGTCTCCTCGATGGGGGGGATGTGAGCCTCCTCCTGGGACAGGGGCACAAACTCAGGATGGGCCATAAAGCTGTGGATGGAGCAACGGGACTCTGGGCTCTCCAGCCTCTCATACAGGGAACTACAGAGCACATTCACCACCTTAACCTGAGTCTGGATGTGGTTCAGGCCTCTGAACCAGAGGATCTGGCCTCTCCTCAGCTCCATCTCGGCGTGGTCGATCTCATCGGCGCCCTCCGTCAGCTCCTCCTCATGGATCTCTTCCTTTCTGGAACCATGGCCTGCCTCCTTCAGGAACTTCAGGTGGTGTGGCTGAGATCAGCTGTCCCCACAGCAGCTCCCCCACACTGATGAACCCACACCACAGCCGCTGCTCGATGGTCAGAGCTGTGCAGGAGAAAGGCTTCCCTCCGAACTGAACGATGAAGATCTGCAGGATGAAGGTTCCCAGTACGATGCTGCAGAAGATGGGGATCTTGTAGATGCCCTCGAACACGTTTCTCTCTCCGTGGATCTTCCTGCCGTTGATTTCGTTGAAAAGCTGCATCATGACGGTCGAAAAACTTCTGACCAGCAAAGAGCAGGGTGAAGATGAGGACGAGATGGAACACAGCGTGGCCCAGGATGTTATTCATCGTGGTCCTGGAGATGAGAGGCTTGGTATGGTTTACGTAGCAGCAGAGACTCGGTGGCCTGTCCGGTGGCCAGAGTGAGGGACGCCAGTGTCCATGATGAGGTCTGCACGGCCGTCAGGGGAGAGTCCTGAGTGATGCAGGTGAACATCACGATCACGGCCACCATGTTGGAGGAGGAGAGCCGCCTGGCGCCCTGCCTCACAGCTCCGACTCATCCATCTGAGCTCCTTCTCCGCCCTCCTCCTCCTCCTCCTGCTCCCTCCTCTTCATCAGCATCATTTGTCACCAGTGGTGGGAAGTAACTACTAGAGTACTTTTACTCAAGTACTGCACTTTAGTAAACAATTTGTTTTTTTGTTATTGGAGGCACAGATTGTACTTTTTACTTCACTGCTATTTATTTAAAAGTTTTAGTTGCGTACGTTCATTAAGATTAACATTAAGATTTGACATAAATAAACCTGATAATCTGATTTTCCAACCTTTTTGGACGCGATGCAAAGAAAAAACAAATCTTAATTTTGATCTGTACATAGGTTTTTACCAATTGTACTAAAGTGTAGCTTCTTCTCTAAACTTCAGTTAGCATGGATTCATTCACATAAACTATTCATCATTTTATAGGAGAGAGGACAGTCCGAACATGTAGTTCCTGTGTGGCGAGATTTGTCTTTGTTTCCAGCATATTTATCATCTGAAGACCTCAGATTTATTGGAGATGTGAAATCTAGCTTATATAAAACATTACGAGCAGCTGTTTATGCATCAGTACTAATATTCTAATTTATATTACTGCAGAATTAAAACTTCAATATTTTAAGCACATTTTGCTGATGACACTCATGTGGTTTTATAAAAGATGGCTGTTTCATCAAGACCTTGTCCCAGCGTCGTCTGTTGTTGTGTAACCGTTGTGGTTTTAGTGCTTTAATCTTAAAAACAAAGGCTGCGAGTGGCGCCTCCACCGCCGTCGGCACCTGAAGCCGTCCAGCACTTGCAGGGTTACATCAGGTGCTCTTCCACCTCTGGGACGCCCACAAACTCCAGTCAAAGTTCTCCTGTTTGTATTTTTAGATATAGTGAAAGGTGCATGATTTGTTTTCAAACTTGAAGAACTGGACCCCTCAGCCTGTTCTGCTTTAGACCCGCAATCCAGACAACCTGCAGGAACAAAACCACCGTCACCGCTTCCATATATTGAAACCCGGCTCACATCCTGACAGTTATCTGGCTGCTTCCTTCGCAAAACAAAAAACCCGGCACATCTTGTTTACTCTGTGGACCCAAACTTCAGTAACATTTCACAATAAGCTGCTGCGACTTGTTCTCTCCTCCATAGGGGGGGACGCGATCGGGTCTGGACAGCTTAATTTGGCGCTCAGCTCCTAAGAAAGAGTTATATTGATGGTATGGTGTGGATTAGGGGCGAGTGATACCTGTGATCTGGGCAGAATGTTTTAATTTAAAGCCTGACTGCTCTCTCAGTAGTTTCCCTGCTTTTATTACCACACAGAGAATGGATTTTTTTAAATGGATTTTTTTTTTTTTTAAGGAAGAGCCTCGGGTCCTTGTGGAAATGACTCTATCTATCTCATTTTGAAATTTGCATGCATTGAATAAATGAAGTAGTGTTCCTTCAGTGCTGCGGCTAATATGCTCAGCTCGGATCCTGAGATTCCTGTTTATTCCAAGGATTGCCGGTGGGACTGCGAGGCCCTGTGGGGTCCGGCAAACATGTTCACTGTGTCAACTGGTGTCTGATTGTCAGCAGGACGTATTTTAATGAGTTATCGATCTTCTCGTTGAATTTAACAGGTGAAGAAGATTAACCGAAACTTTCCAGTTAACCAGCAGGTAAGACGTTTTCCTCATGCAGCAGCTGAGCCCCACTGGTGTTCCTTCACATCCTCGTTTTGCTCTCGGCTCGGCTTTAATTCATGTGTTTTGTCCTGATCTTTACAAAAATCAGGAGTAAAACCATGTCAGTCAGTCAGTCAGTCAAGAGAAAGGGCACAGCTCCGTCTTGCCAGCGATTGCAACACCAGGAGCAGGTTTTGCATAATAAAGTCCATCCACCCAGAGCTGATCAGAAAACAGCTTAATTGCCTTCAGTCAGTTAACTCACGGAGCCATCAGCGAGTCCGACGGTGAGGCTCCCTCTTTGTTACGTATTTACTCTGCTTTCTGCCTCATGAAGAAAAAAAAAAAAAACACTCAAATTCACTTGACAATTCATTTAAGAAATTAAACAGCGTGAGACGCGCTTGTCCCGAATCTTTCACACGCTTGCTTTGCAAATCCATCAAAACGGGCTCGGAGCAGGAGAAGCGAGCAAACATTTTACTTTGGTTGCAATCAAACCCAGACTTTAATGAGCAGCGACGGTGTGATGCACTCGACGGCTGAAACCACGTCTCCGAGCGTTTGCAGGAGAAGCTTTGCTGTCGTTCTCTTCATCTCCCTCCTCGTCTGACCTCTTTTTAAAAAATTTTTTTTGCACATGAATACAAATTTTTAACCTTTTTACCTTTTAGGGGCCGTCGATATAATAACAATAATAATAATAATAATAATAATAATAATGTATATGTTGACATGTTTACAGAATAACTTGATGAATGTTTCACAGACTATCATATATTTATGAGCACATAAATAATAACACATGTTTATATGTGTGCTTGTCAACACGTATGACTTCCTTTACGAATAAACTCTACATGTGAGCAGACAGATGGATGAGAAAACTTTAATCACATTAAATGATTCATGATAAAGGACGAGCAAATGTTTACGGTGTTTTATAAAACATGTATTAACGGTTATGCAAATTATTCACACGTGGAGTTTAAATGGTTTTAAAACGTGTTATGTACACATTGAGCTTTAGGCCATTTGTTAAAAAATTTAGATAAAGAAAATAGTAATGAATTAAGTCTTCACTTGAATGTGTGGTTAGTATGTACTCATTCGAGATGCTTCACAGGTATCGTCAAATGCATTAATTAGTACAGAAAAAAGTCCTTCTATCTCTTTAAATACATTATTTATTAACTGTTAATGTCGGCCTTGTGTTTTAAAAGATAAACACAAAGGTTAAAAGTTTCACAGATCTGCACTGCAGCAGCTACGTCTTAACTATCTCTGGCCGAACCGAGACCTTTGTGGGCAAATTAGTTCTGCAAATCAATAAACAGACCGCTCAAGACAAGACGTCCGGACTTATTTAGCACATTTAAAGCAACAGAAGTTCAGCCAAAGTGCTTTCAGTTTGAAACGAAACCTCGACATTACAAATTTATGTGACTAAAAGAGGCAGAAACAATCATCTCGGGGCACTTTAAATGTTCAGGTCAAGACCTGACGATATTACAGAAGGAAGTCCAATAAGTCTCTCTGAGCGAAGACACTGGGTTGTGTGGTTTTATTGGGTTTTTATGTGTCTTTGTGTTACGACCTTTTGGTACTTTGGGTTTGTCAAGCGTTTAATCTGCTGGATACACCCACAGTAGACAGACGTACCTGATTTCTAATCTTAACAGACAATTTGGTTAAATCTGGCGTCCTGCTGGGAGTTAGAGGAGAAGATTCCCGCTCTCTCGTTTGTATGCTTGATACGAAGCGACCACCTGCAGCCGGCAAGCTGTTCCAAAAATAACAAAATCATCGCCGCACCTCTGAAGCTCGCTGATTAACGCCTCGTATCTCATTTGTTTAATCTGTCCAACAACCGCCGCGTAGAAACAACAAATCAACTTCTTGTGTGTGCGCGCTATGAGTCCGACTGCTTCTGCATCGGGACCAGCCACTTCCTGGTTGTCTTCACCGGTTGCCTGGCAACTAGTCCTGGCCAAGAAACAGTCCAGCGCCGAACGCTCTGTAAAATAGCAGGGAAAAGTTTTTATTTTTTTTAGGTGGTTAAAATTTGTGTTGAGCAGCTTGTGATCATTCTGATTCCTTACCGTACCATGTCAGTGTTTTTTTTTGTTGCTCTTGTCGGTGTAAAGGTCAGCTTTGTTTTAATGGATTTGCTCTTTCTCTCCTGCTGCTGATACGCTGGATGAAGGCGAACACAAAAACACTGATGACTGAACATTTCAGTTCACTATAACCAGGCTCAAAAATGTCTTCCAGTTTAATTGGACGTACTAATGCGATTAAAACCTGTAACCTCTCCAAAGGACTTAAGAGAGATAAAAAAAACAGGAGGTTAAATATGACAAATATGGATAATCTCAACTGTAAAACATCTTTGTAAAGCCTTCAAACAACTTTCTAATTGATTGTAAGGACACAACAGTACCATGCAGTGATGCCCTCGTGTGTTTTCCAGATTATCTACATGGGCTGGGTCGACGAGAAGGAGCAGGACTCCGTTCAGGACCGAATGTATTCACCAAAGTTCCTCGCTTTGAGGGGTTCCTCGCTCTTCAAGTTCTCAGCACCTCCTGTAAGTTGAGTTTTTTTTTTTACTTCGTCTGCATTTTTTTTTTTTAACTCCATGTGTTTGGTGTCATTCAGCTCCACGGGGGCATTTTTCATTTGATGCTAATGTATTGTTGAGAGAGAAAATGCTTTCCTGTTGGTTTTAAAAAAAAGAAAAAAGCAAGGCGCTCACTCATAATCATTTGTGCCGCATTGATCTTCCACTTGATTGATGGCGATCATTAAATCTGTTTACATTCTGCCAACCACTTAGGTGATTATGACAAGAGGGATAAGCTGTCGATGGTACTGGAGATGGGAGAAGATTGATAGATAACTGAAATTGCCTGCTCAGTGTGAATGTGCCGATATAAATGGAAAATGCTAATGCGGGCGAAACGGTGGAATATATGAGCCTCATGTCGAGACACGCTGCTTGATTATTCAAGACTCGTTACCTGTGACGAATATTTCCCTTCACGTGGCCGCATGGTATTTGAATTTAGCGTCATCAATAATTGAGCATTGATAACCCCCCCGCCTCCAAACAGCTACTGTCCAATCAGCATGCCAGAAACAATGGTTGGGGTCTATTAGGAATGAGAACTGAAAACAGAACATAACACTTCATGTCATTAGCTAATTAGTGTATCACTCTGTGGTTAAAGGTTACACAACAAGAACACCAACATCGTCTTGTGTTAGACCAGTGATCGCTGCTCTCTCTGGCTTTTCATTGGTTTTATGCTCCAGGAACTTGAGCAACAATTAGCATTAAACAGCTTCATGTTTGACACCAAGGATCATTTTCTCTTTTAAAAACGAAGCACAAGTTTGCAAGTTACCCAAGTGTGCACGCACAAGGATCCAACAGGACCCATAACGTTTTAATTTAATAATACCAGAACATAACATTTCACGTCATTAGCTAACTAGTGTATGATTCTATGGTTAAAGGTTACGCAACAAGAACACCAACATAGTCTTGTGTTTTCAGCTTCCAGTGGTTTTATGCTCCAGGAACTTTAGCAGGAATTAGCATTAAATAGCTAGCACCAAATATAATTTTCTCTTGTAAAAATGAAGCACGCTGTTTAAAACTATAAGGTGATAGAATGCAAGTTACCCAAGCATGCATGCACAAGCTCACATGAGGACCAAAAAAGTTTTAATTTAATAATACCAGAACATAGCTTGACTCTGCGCTGCACAAACAGTGTTTTGCACAGATCAACACTCAAGAGTTCAGACTTCAATAATTATCCACTTAACTACAGTTCTTGCTGCAGTTTGTTCCCTTCTGTCATCTGCAGACACGGTTGCAGAGTTTAACCAGAAAAAGATAAATAACCACAACATTTGACAGGCTGTTTAAAAAAGCACTTCCTGTCAGCAGTAAATAAATAAAGTATAAACGAATAAAGCCGTCAGCGTTCTCACTGTATGCCGTACATACATCCTACGACTAACAGGTGCAAGGTTCAGCAGGTGTTTTTATTATTTATAGTGTTTCTAATGAGTCATCTGCATAAAAACATAGTTTTAGGGACGGTTATCACGCTTTTGCTTTATCCTCATTTGTCAAATCAAATCCATGTTTCCAGGTGACAACGTGGGACTGGACCCGAGCAGAGAAAAGCTTTACCGTGTACGAGATCATGTGCAAGATCTTAAAGGTATGACGGTCGTTTTATTTTTTTTCATTTCACTCCCCGAGCATTTAGACGAGCAACTCTCACACCGGGTACACGCTGAGAATATCAAGTAGCAGAATCTGAGGAAGGCACTTACGTAACTCCCTTATTTATTTGGATGCGTTCTTCTCCAATCCCACAGAGACACTCAAGGTTCAGATTTCATCTTTTATTCTCTGCAGGTTCGAGGTCACTTTGAATCTGATCGCGAGAATTTATCTGCATTTCATTATCTCCACACTCATTACGGCAAACTTAATTCATATAGATTCACATATTCAGTGGGTGACCTTCCTGTGCCGTTGTGATGTGTTATGTAGGTTACACGGAGGAATGAGACGCTGCGTTAGAGTTACACGTCCTCTGTTAATATGCGTTAGTGGTTTGCTTTAGGAGGCTGCCTTTGCTGTTGTGTTTCCCGTCTGTACCTGATCACTGTGCTGTTATCTCAGGACAACGACCTCCTGGACAAGAGGAGGCACTGCTTCAGCGTCCAGACGGAGACCGGCGAGGACATGTTCTTCAGCGTGGAGCTGGAGTGCGAGCTGCTGATCTGGGAAAAGGCTTTTCAGATGGCCACCTTCCTGGAAGTGGAGAGGATACAGGTCGGCACCTGAGCAGTAGCGAAAACGTGCCGGGAATTGTGAGGATTTTAATCTGGCACGCGGTTCCAGCTCGGTTGTTTCAGCACAAAGATTGATAATGTTCATGTGACATTTTCAGCAGAGCAAAAAAAAAAGAGAAAGAAATCAACAGGCTTTTGTGTCCTTGTGTGGCTCTTGTGGGTAACAACGTGTTCTCCTGTTCTGCAGTGTAAAACGTACGCCTGCATCATGGAGAGCCACCTCATGGGACTCACAATTGACTTCAGCATGGGCTTTGTGTGCTTTGATGCTGCTTCAAAGGTGGGTGAAGGACGGTCCTTTGTCATCGATACAAATATGGAAAAAGGAGCCGTTGAGTGGGAGATTTTAGTCAACACTACTGTAGACAGTGTGATGAAACCAATCACGACGCCTTCCCCTTTTCCTTTTCCTTTTTTTCCTTCGTGCTGCTAACTTATTCTGCACTGTGAGCATTTTGGGAGCGTGAGCACATTTGTTTTGACGGCTGGTTCCCCCCCAGCTCAAACCTCTCACTCCTGCCTGCAGTTCCTTTTGGCCTTTCCCCAAGTCTGAGAGCCACGCAGACGACTCCGCTGGTGCACATTATGTGGATGAGCAGGACACAAGCACTGCCATATTGTTCTCTAAGATTCTGGCCCTAATTCCTGCGATGTGGAGCAACGATGTCCCCTAAGGATGATAAAAACGTTGCCAGAGTATTGTTTATAGAGAGAAATGCACATAGCACAATCCATATGTAAACTGTAATTGCAGACAATACACGGGCTGGGATTACTCTGTAATTAAAAGCTGCTGTTGGCAAATTTCAAAACCATGTCGGTATTGGTTTCAGTCGGAAACGGCTCAAAAATAACTCTGTTCGACAAGTAGAGCTATAATCTGCTGGCTCAGGCCCCAGTGAGACGCTCCGCCGTGTCTCAGTTTATATCAGAGGCAGGGTTTCCGTATAAAGCATCTTAATGGGAACATGAAAAACAACCAAGACATGTATTGCATAATTATTTATAATATTATAAAGCCTAACTCCCAGTAGAGGCTGCAGAGTTTCCGTCGCTCTCCTCGGGCCGGTGGCTTCTCTCAGCAGTCCAAAGACGCTGCTCGCCTGTGACGTGTCATAATGGATGGATAAATAGATGTTTGAGGCACTTAGAGTACAGTCTGTTCAATAAATGAAGCCTTACAAGACATTAAGGGAAACATTTTTATATATCAAGTGATGTTTTGAGCCACTCAGTGAATGTTCAGATACACAAAACAGAGAAGCAAACACAAAGCAGTTAATGTACATTTGACAACTGCCTGCATTAGAAAGGCCATTAAAAACAAGGTGGCTGGAACTTGCATGCAGGTAAATCCTTTTCTGATGTAAACTGTGTGTGGCGGAGCGGGGCGTGCGGGGGCGCTACTAATAGATTGCCTAACTGATGGACTAAGGGGAAATGTGTTGACCGACAACGCCACCTGGGTTTAAGGTTCTCACCCAGGGAACCGACCTACTCCTTGTTCACACACACACACAGCAAAGCACACAGGTTCGCGACACACTGGGGGGAGACGTGGTTCTACATTATAAAAAATAGATTTTATTTTCCTACAATAGTTAAAATACAGGACCGAATTTAAAATATAGAATTGAAATCACCAAAATCCCACAAGGCAGATTCAAATGAAAACTAAGGAAAACAATGCAAAGCAAATGAGAAATCAAGAAAACCATGCAAAACCAAAGAACTCAAGCAATAATAATCTTTGCAAACACATGCGAAAATAATGAAACTCAAAATACAAAGCAAAATCACACAAACAAACTAAACAAGGCAACACTGAGCCCAACACAGGTAACAAACAAAAACAGCAAACCAAGTGAAGCAAAGCCAAGCAAAGGAAAAGCTAAGCTAAGCTAAGCAAGGCAAACTTAAACAAAATATAACAACAAACCAAAATAATACAAAAACAACATTACCAAAGCAAAACAAAGAATGCTGCCATGCAAAGTGAAGCAGAGTAAAAGATGCAAGCGGAGCAAAGCAGCAGAGCGACACCACCCAGAGCAAGCCGCAGAGAGACGGCGATGCTAACGGCGATGCTAACGGCGATGCTAACGGCGGCAAAGCGGCGGAGCGCCGCTAACCCGGCAAAGCAGCAGCGGTCCCACTATTCAGCCACATCTTCCAGTCACAGCCTCTGTTCAACAAGTCTAGGTTAAATACAAACCAACAGATAGATAAAACTAAGTCAGGCTGTTTACCTACCATTCAGCTGTGTTCAGTGAGCACCTGAAGGAGGAGGGACACACTCTTATGTAGCGGCAACAGCAGAAGACTCCCAAACTGCACTGGCCGAACAGGCAGCCGCGAGCCAAACGTGCCGGCACGGGGTCCGTGACACATGCGGCTGCGTGGAGCGCCGCCGGTACCTGACAGGCAAGAGCAAGGCGACCCGGAAGTGGGCGGTCTCAGAGCCAAGAGCGAGAGACACCAAGATGGGCACCATACCCTTATAAGGAGTGCCCTCAAGCGGTGATAGGCTGAATAGCATTCTCCATTAGGAGCAGAAATTAGGCTTCATCCTGCCACAATCTACCCCCCAAAAATGCATCGGCGCCCCGACGAAGAGCCAATCAAAGCAGAAACCACCATGGCTAATTCCAGGGTCGGAAGATTGCAATAACTGCATTGGAGGCCGGCTCAGGTGGATTTGCGGCCGCCTGGGGCCGTTCTGCCACCGATCTTGGGAGACGATTCAGATTAGAATGGTGACCCGCAGTCGACCGTAAGGTCCGTCTTACTGTCACCTCCTCCGTACCAGACTGAGTGGCTGCAGGGGCCTCCATT